GCTTCTTGTTTATGAATTCATGCCCTTGGGATCATTGGAAGATCACCTTCACGGTATATTTGGTGTACATTAGTACTCTAATGATATAGTTCTTTCTCGTATTACTTCATTATATCTAGAGCAACTAGTCCTTCTGCATATAGATCTTTATAAAGTTATATTCAACTCAACAATTTTAGCACTTTGAGCTCAATGTAGGATGTCAATGTTGGGTTAAGGATCTTATTAAATTTTTTATATACAAATATTCTCCGAGCTCATAATTTTAATGGATTCGTTACTATTGTGAAGTGATAATTAGTGTTAATCTGGAAAGCATGGATACCAACTCACAATACGGGTACAATACGGCATAGGAACGATAACACTGGAATGTTTAGAAAATTAGGACATTGATACGACAAGACACACAATATATATTTTATACAATAGTATACAATATAATTGGATACTTATCAATCAAATATCAACATGAAAATGCAATTAGTTTTTCAATTTCTCAAAATCAAATTCGAGTTTAAAAACTTGAACCTTAATAAATTCATTAGGATCAAATAGCTCAAACTCAAAGTCTTAAAAGTTCTCTATCGTTCTCTGTTCTGTAACATATTGTAACATATTTAGATTGATAGTTTGTGTTCTACTCCCAACCTTTCCGGTATTTAACTCTCCATTATTGTTTCTCTTTCAGTTTTCTTCGTTTTCTTTATGGATTTCAAGCATTTCAGTTCCTTAGGATTTAACATTTTGTTCATGGTTGACTACCTATTTAAGGGGTAAAAAATGCAAATAGCATGTCTTATCATGTTAAGGTGTGTCCAGTCATGCTTTGTCACATCAATGCGTGTTTGTGTCAAACGCATCAAACACTTGTAAAATCAAAGATTATGGATGGTGTATCTTTAACTGGACATGGTGCTGAATGATTTGTTAACCTAGTATAAATAAGTTGTAATTCCACCTTATTTATTTATTCTGTTTTAGTAGGCTTCAACGACTAGAGGTTTATCTAGTCCTACATTTTCCAAGAGTTCCAACTTCTTATCTTCTTTTTAGCCTTAGTTTCATTGATTTGCTACTATATAAATTCATATATATTGTCCTAACAGCCCTACATATATTAATTCAATATTTTAGGCCTGCTTTGCATTATTCGCTCTTTCATTTCGTGTCTCTTAATGGTAAGATAAAGTCGAATTAAATATTTTCTTATTGTCTGATAACAAGATTTTCTTGTAATGTCTTCTAGAAAGGCTGAGTTTGGCATTGTGATTGATATGCAAAATCATGGTTTGCACTGCACAGGTTCAACATTTCTTTCTAAACTAAGTCTTGACTAAACTGGCGGATTTTCGCCGTGGTTCTCCAAACCCTAATTTCACACCCACAGCTTTTGGAATCCTACCAGTTATAATATTGAACTAACCCGAGCTTAGTCGAGTTGGCATCTAAAAGTCTAAGGATTTGAATCCCAGCATCTGTATTTCCTTCTCCTATTTGTAGGTTAAGGTGTCCTTTTTAGAAAAAACGTTGTCTATTTAATGTCGGAACTGATAATGAACTATGAATCACATTGTTCTCATAATGGATCTGTTTTGTGGTTCACGAGCAAGCTGTCTTATGCTTTTAGTAGGCGGGAGGCTTCAGAATGTTTGACTTTAGCCCTTTACTGCCAATAACATCAGATGATATTCACATCTCATTGTTGGATAAATTCAATTTTTTAGCCAACACAAATGGATATACACAGGTTTTACCGTGTCGTGCCCTTGGCCATATATTGCTTGTGCTACCAGTTCCAGTTAAATACATCTATTATATAGCAGGAAGGGGAATTTTCTAGATTATAGTCTAATCTGTCATCGATTTCTCTGCAGATCTACCACCTGAGAAGGAACCACTAGATTGGAACACAAGAATGAAGATAGCAGCTGGTGCAGCTAAAGGTTTGGAATACCTCCATGATAAGGCAAACCCTCCTGTTATTTACAGGGACTTCAAGTCCTCCAACATATTACTGGAGGAAGGATTCCAGCCGAAGTTATCTGATTTCGGGCTTGCGAAGCTTGGTCCAACAGGAGATAAATCACATGTTTCCACCAGAGTTATGGGCACATATGGCTATTGTGCTCCCGAGTATGCCATGACTGGTCAATTGACAGTTAAATCTGATGTTTATAGTTTTGGCGTTGTCTTCTTAGAGCTAATTACTGGAAGGAAAGCAATTGATAGCGCACGGCCCCATGGAGAACAGAACCTTGTAACATGGGTAATGCATTTGAAATGCCTTTTTAGTTTGGATTGGTCTGTGTAGGAAGCGATGGCTGACTATATAATAATTTATCTTTTTTTAATGAATGTGCAGGCACGTCCACTATTCAACGACCGCCGCAAATTTGCAAAATTGGCAGATCCAAGATTGCAAGGACGATATCCAATGCGAGGTCTTTACCAAGCTCTAGCTGTGGCCTCTATGTGCATTCAGGAGGAGGCTGCCACACGTCCTCTAATCGGGGATGTGGTCACTGCTCTCTCATATTTGGCAAACCAGGCATACGATCCTAATGCAGCAGGGCATGGCTACCGAGGTTCTGGAGATAAGGATGATAAAAGACAGAGAGATGAAAGAGGAGGAAGGGTATCAAAGAACGATGAAGGAGCATCATCTGGCCGTAGGTGGGATTTGGAAGGGTCCGAGAAGGAGGACTCCCCCAGAGAAACTGCCAGGATGTTGAATAGGGATTTGGAACGGGAAAGAGCTGTGGCCGAGGCCAAGATGTGGGGAGAGAATTTGAGAGAAAAAAGGCGACAAAATGCACGTGGTAGTTTCGATGGGACTAATGGCTAGTATACCGTTCCCAGCTAAACTTAATTTGCAGTCTCCTTTGGCCACCGTTTATCCACCTTTCCGACTCAACGAGGTGAAGAAACTTTTTCTTGCGCATGGTTCATCCAAAAAGCTTGGCAATGCTTTACTTTCATTTCATTTCAATGAAGCATAGAAAATGATTATGATGATGATGGAAAGAACAATGGATAAATGGAGTGTACATTATCATGAACCAGGAGAGCATGAAAATGAAATAGAAAAACTATACTTTTTTCATAAATTTTGGGAGTTAATGTTGTCCTGCTATGGGCTTGTACGGAACTTTTCCATGGTATTTTGTATGTTGTATTCATCTTCAGTTCACAGAGACATTTTTACCAACTAATTGAGGCCATTTCATTCATTTTTGTGTTTTACTATGTTCATTCTGCAGTCTTTTGAGGGTAATTTAAGTGTGGGATTCGCAGAATCAAGGGATCTCAATGATTAAAAGGATGGTTGTTATCGTTAAAAGTCATGAGTTCGAGTATAATATCTATAGAGAGAGTGTATACTCATTATCAAATGTTTAAAAGTTTTTCAAACAAATACTATTTTATGAATATCCTAGATTAATAAATAAAAAGTGTGGGATTCACTCGTATTGGAGGATAATTTTTTTTTCATTGAGGTTAAAATTTTATGGGATTTTAATGCAACTTGAATAATGAAAGATGAACAAAAATTTTGATAGGAAAAATAATAAATTTACATTTAAATATCGATCCAACCTGAAGTTTGATATATACATTTTGAATCGATGTGTTATACATATGATATTTTGTTGTGGTTTAAATGCATATACGAACCTAAATTTTGATTCAGTTTTACACAATAAAATAATATATTAATTTATTTTATATTGGAAAAATATAAAATTATACAAAATAAAAATTTATATATCAAATTGCATGTTAAACTAAAATTTATATACTATGATTTTAAAATTTATATCAAAATATATCTCAAAAACTTTTGAAGGACTGTATTTCAAATTAAATTAAGTTCTTAAAGTATTTCAAATCAAATTTGTGTGTGCTTTTTAAGTGTTTTATGTTTAGGTTTCCAACTCTACATAGAAATTTCTCTCTCATTCTTTATGTAAAATTTGTATGTTTATTTTAATTAAAAGAAAAATATTAATTATTAAGTGATAAAATATGCTTATTATTAGAGTTTTTATAAGTCAAATTAGTATTTTTTTTGTATAATGTTAATTTTAGTTTTTATATAATGATAAAATTACTTCCAACGTTTGCATAAATAGTTACTTTTGTTCTTATATTTTTTTTAATATTTTAGCCTCCAACGATTCAATATTTAATCAAAACAAGCTTTGTTGGATATATATCATTAGTTGACTAATGATCAATACATATTATTGATATTGTATTTTCATACGTGTTCAATTACTAACGTGACATATGTAACGATATCATTTTGGGTGATGAGAAAAATATCATATCATCATTTAAGTGATGTGACATATTATATGTCATCACTTTGAATGATGTGATACATATCACATTAGAAATTGAACGTAAGTAAAAATGTTACATCAATAACATGGGTGACTGTTAATTAACTATCAATTTCCATCTATAAATCTATTTTTGACTAAAAGTTAAAACGATTGAGAGCTAAAAATTCTCCATAAAAAAGAGTATGGAACCCTGTGAATATTTGTATAAATGTTAAAAGTAACTTTGTAATTATACTTTTTTCATGTGCCCAGCCTTACAAAGGAGTACGCATTGGTGAACATCTACTAGATGGTGTATGTTGCCAAGCAAACTCAATAATTAAAGAGAAAAAATTTATTTTTAGAAATTCCTAATTTAAACACCATATTGTAAATTTATTTATTATAAAATAATTATAAGTGTTTCGAAAAAAATATTATCTATCTCATCTCTTCCTTACCCTCATACACACACGTTATCGCATCCGGCTGTGTGTTGTTGCGAATTAATGAAGGGAAAGATTCCAACCACACAAATCGTTAGCTTTGCCTTGTTAGAGCCGGAAAGCAATTTAATAGGATCCCGATCAGTGTGAAAACCCACCATCCTCCCTTGTAGTTCGAATTCCTTCATCTTTCCTCATCAACACGATACCATGCAAATGGAAATAAATGCCGAAAACAATTCATGGTTGTATTTCAAAACAATAACTACAAAGATTATTTCAACATGGAGGAGGGGAAACTGAAAATACATCACGTCTCTATTATACATATATATATATAGTCATCTTCTTGAAGTAGGTCCCAGGACTGGTTTCTTCTGTGCACAAAAGGGTACGGTGTTTGATCAGTGTTTTTTATTCAAACTGGACATTCATTCGAATCTGCAACCACTGATTTTTTATCAGCTTCTTCCTCCGTCGTGGTGTTTGCATGGTGAATATCTAAAGCTACGGGGTGAACTTCAGAGGCGCTTAATGTGTCGAGGACGACGATGCTTTTCGTTTGTTCTGGAAGTTTCTTCTCATCCATGACATCCCTTTCGCCGTGTCTGTAGATTGCGTATAGAATCATCTGGAGCATCCCCAGTATGAAGCCTAGTACGTTAGGGAACTGTCAATTTCACAAGGGCAAACAATAAAATTAGTGGCCTCAAGTGAAGAGTGTGTCCTTTTAAAGTGTCCCACACATGGAAAAGGAAATTCACTTACAGCTACACAAAGGTCCTTAATGAATAGCCCGTAGGAGAACCACATCACTGCACTCAGTGTGAGGAAGAACGATAAGTTGAAAGGCATGAACTCAACACTCTTTGTTCGAATAACTCTTGCCTGCAACAACAATGGAAAATCAAATCATATTATTACTCAACAACGGAATTGACTTCCGAGAACCTCCAATTTTCATTGTACGCGTGGAAACTAACATATATAGACAAAATCTACGATAAATTCACATGATACTCCCGAAAGTCCAACTAACATATCCGCCTAACTTACTAACCTACAAATGGCTATAACGAGGGGACGACCCTTTTATATTCTATCTCATCTTCATCGTTTTCCTCATGATCATTTCTCTCGTACAAAAAAACATTCATTAACGGTTATTCCTTCATCAGCTGATATTTTCAGTCCAAACTAGAAAGATAAACTATATGCAATTTAGAAAAGGTAAAAAGAAAATAGATACTCACCATGATATTCAAGGGTGCTGCAAAGACGGATACAGAGATGGCAACACAAATCCAGCCAATAACCGGGACACGAATCGAACTCTTGAGCATAAAGTGTGTGAGAATGAGAATGAAAGAGAAGATCACCACGTTCATTGCTACAAAAAGTTTCATGGCAGACTTCTGCAAATTTCCATAGGTAAAGGTAAACTCATCAGATATACGTGAGATATATGTATGAATTTATGTATGAAACCGCACCTTATCATCCCTTAAGTTCATCCCTGAATATTCATATAATTCGAATCGTTTTTGAGTAATACATAAATTTACTCACCCTGCTATCCTTTGAAGCATAAGCTAAGTACATAGATATGTAAATAGTCTCGACAACGCATCCGAATGAGTTGATGGTGATGAGGAGGAAAGCACCCTTTTTAATCAACGCGTAGTACAGCCATAGCATGCAACTGAACAATGCCACCTGGTACGGCAGCGACTGGAAACTTTCTGTTGATTTCTTCTTGAAAATTCGGTAGAATGTTGGTCTGCGATCATACGGAAAAAAAGGGGTTATTATTATCATTATCATTGTTATGATTGTAGTTTAAGAATGATTGATTTTGGGACATGCAGCAGAAGGCGAAGATCAATGCTTACAGTGGTGCCAGAAATACAAGGACTGAGATGATGTTACCTGCCATCATTTAGGTACATCATCATTAAATTAAAGAAAGCCAAATATAACTTTTCCTTTTTGTTAAAAAAAACTACGTATAACTAAACATTAGATTAATGCAACTATTAGGTACAAATTGGAGCCAATTCTGTTAAACACATTTTGTTTAAAGTTAAACCAAATATACTGAAACAAAAAATAGCATGTTATGCATTATTTTCTTTTGCAACTTAACCCAAGTTGTAACTTAAACTGAAGTACGTAGAGGTTGACGGAAGACGAAAATATTGAAAAAGAGAGAAATAAATGGGAAGAAAACAAGGCGGAACGAATGTGGTTGTAGTGTCGTGAGTGATTTTCTTATGACTACATTTACATTACTTGCGATACAAGGAAAATGTCTAAAAAATAAATCCTGAAACTGTTTAGTGTGAATATCAAATACGAGTGTATATTTCAAGATTTTTAAAGGTTACATCTTATATTCAGTTGAAGAATACTTGACATTAAACATGAATAGTTTATGAAAAATGAAGAATCTGAAATAGCTCAACGGATTTCAAGAAAAAAAGAGTTAGAGCGAAGAAGAGAAAGATAACAAGAGCATATTAGCATTACCTAAGACACCAAAAACGACTGCCAAGGTATGGTGGTCACCCATTAAGGCCATATCTCCCTTATTCAACAAAAGAAAATTGCAGAGAGGGAACCCTAGCTAGCTCTCTTTTGTGACACACTCACTTATGGAATGCCCAAAGGAGAGCATTGAGAGGGGGGTTTTATACGAGAGAAAAGTGGGGAAGGTGGTGGTAAATGGTGATGTGAGCACATACTTGTGTGCGCGCATTTAACTCCTTTTCTTGCATGACAAATTGAAAAGTGCAGATGTTAGTAGTAGGTAGGTTCCGTCGCATAAATTCAACTTCATTTCTTTTAACTTTTTAGTAACGTGTACAGCTTTCCGACCTAATTGGCATCCACAAAATAATTTTCGACCCTAGCTCCCTTTTGTGGCACACTCTAACTTCGGGTGTACGAGATTTGAAGACTGTGTTAATCATAAGGAACAACGTTCAACTTCATTATAGTGATTATACTAATTCGGAAGAAATTACTTCTAATTAGGAGTTTTTACCACGGCACAATAAATTGTACTTTAAGTGTCATTGTTAAGCCTCAAGTTTCATGAAATATCTCCATTTTCATGTGCTGAATCCTCTTTTTCATGAATTTCTTGTTATTGCATGACAGCATACACCAGAATTTCATTTACGTTACAGATACACCGCAAAGGTGTCTATGGAAAAGCCCCGATTCACGTGAAGCTATGAAAAAATCGTTTCCCTTTCTCTTTCAAAACCCTCTGCGATGGAAAATTCCATTTACTGATGTTGATTCATAGCAAAGGGTTTCGTGTCACATAAGAGAATCTTGACCTTTTTTCTCCTTCAAGTCTTCTTGCAGTTATATGAGAAAAAGGACAAAGAAAGTACGAATGATCTGCAAACAAACAATACTAATCATGCATTAGTGAGGTGGACTAATTATTTATCATGGAATGCTAGGTGGAAATATTACTAGCATTACAAGAAAATATACATTTAATGACACAATCTAATTTATGACTTGCAAAAAATATGTGTCATAAAATAATGTCATGTTTTTTAAAATTTGAACTATTTATGACTTACAATAATGTGTGTCATATTTAATAGTCATAATCCAAAAAATTTACAAAAACACGGAGTACACTTTTAATTGTGTGTCATCTGTAAAAGTCGTCTTTTAATTTCCCTCATTATTTTCATCCTTTCCCGCTTCATGCTTCTCCTTTTTTCTCTTTGTATCAGTCCACTGGCTTCCCCCCTCTGATATCGTGAAGCGCCAATGATCTCTGTTAACTCCATATATCGATGTCTTCCTTCGTGTTTATCCCCCACTCGACTCAGATCACGAATCGCTTCACTCGTTTTGGCGTTTATTTCCATCTGTGGAAAAAATTCCCCTCGTACTTACTCAGTAACTCGATGAGTCTGTTGCCCCCGCGAGCTTCCTCCCTTTCTTAATTTTTGTTCAAATTTCTCTTCTTCTGACATCCAACGATTTCTCAGGGGGAATTTCTCTTTTAGGTTAGCTTTAAAAGATTTGATCTTTCCAATAGAAAAATGTTGTCTTTTCTGCATTTCTGTGTTGTTTTTGTGAAATTTATGTAGAATTTTACAATGGGTATTTCCTTTTTCTTCTTGGTGTTGTGTTTTTGGTTTTTTTATTGATTAATTTGGTAAGCTACTGTTTTTTTATGTGAAGTTTTGATTTGTTGGTTTGATTTCTAATGAAGGGTTTTTGTTAATTTCATGTAATTTTGGATATGGAAATTGAGTTTACTATGGTTGATATGTTATTCTCTTTTGTTATTGCTTCATAGTTTGCATTTTGGTTTTGCTTGTGTTGTTTATTTAGATCAACCATTAAAATTTCCTAGAAATGAATCTGTCTACAACCATTGTCTTCTTCATCTTCTCTATCTCTAATTCCGACACAGTTTTTGCCATTTTGGCTCTTAGCATATGAATTTATTTCATTTTCCATTTTGGTTGGCTATCCAGTGATTGAGTTGTTTTTAATGTTGATCATTCATTTTTCTTTTGTTATCATATTTCCTCTACAGGGTATTTTATGCTGACACAATGAGTTTTGAATGCAGCACATCGGTTCGCCTTTTTGTAGGAGATATATTTTTAACTACATCGAAGATGATGGTGGGATGATATGTTGTTATTGACAAACTCTCCACATAAATGGAACTAGATTCTAGAATCTAGAGCTTTTTGATTTCTTGTTAAAATATAGACTAGATGGAATAAAGTAGCTAGGAAGTTATTATCTCTTGCCTTTTGCTAACTTCTTTATAGACATTTGGAGAATCTTTGGCTCTTGTCGTAATCTGTTGGAGGGACTGTCACTTCAAAACTTGAATTTTCAATAACTTTTAGGAGTATTTATAATGATCTTTGGATTTAAAGTGTTGTGGATATGTTAAATTCACCTCAAGGACATAAGCAGAGCCTCCAAAAATCCATGCAAAAAGGCTCATTTGGTGCCTCATATAAAGATTTGTGGCATGCTGTGGGAGAAGGGTCCTTGCCTGATGTAGATTCTGCATTGGTGCTATTGAAGAAGAATTGAAGTAATATCAATTCGAGGAACAGTTTGGGTCTGACTCCTCTTCACATTGCAACTTGGTGAAACAACATTCCCATTATTCGAAGGCTTCTAGCTTCTGGTGCTGATCCTGATGCTAGGGTGTGTAATTCTTATCCTTTTATTGATCATGAAGTCGTAGAGATGTCAGATGTATGATGGTGCAATTAGCTTCAAGCCACTTTTTTTTACTCTTCGTAATCCTTGTTCCAGGACGGAGAATCTGGGTGGAGTAGCCTTAATAGGGCTTTGCATTTCGATCATCTTGCTGTAGCGAGTGTTCTTCTCCAGTCTGGTGCTTCTATTACATTGGAAGATTCAAAATGTAGAACACCTGTAGATCCCCTGTCAGGGCCTGTCTTGTAGGTTTTTGGAAGTGCACAACATTTAGGTACCTGCTACTGTCTTGGCATATCGGAAAGCCTCTTATTATTGCACGAAAATCAAATCTTTTTCAAAGAAGTGTAGAAGAGGATCATGGTATATGTTATTTCATATTGTTAATGTGGCTTTAAAACCTGATTCCAGATTTTCATATAATGGGTAATCTTATTTGGTTATAATACCACTATTTGTTGTCATTGAAGATATAGGTGGAAAACATTTTCTTGTTAGAATGTTGTTTGGCGAGTAGATTGACCATTTATATTCACTTCTCTCATATCGTTGGAATTCTGCTGTTTCTAACCATAATGTTATGATAATATTAATTTTTTTTGTTTTTGTGTAACTAACGTAAACTTCAATCCTCTTGCAGAGTTCATTAATCTTATTTCATCAGAGTCCAATGAAGTTTGTAACAGAGAGGATAAACGAACAATAGCAGCTGAGCATGTACTCAAGGCTTTAACGGTTAACCTATACCCATGTTTCAATTTTGTTCTTTATAGGTGTTATTTGTGCACATTGCTTTGTTAGGGTTGAAAAGTAATGCCTCGAATATGACATTTGGATATGCTGTTATGGTTCATGAGCGCCTTTCTCTTTAAATTGTTGTTTCCATATCAAGCTATGGTTTTACTAGAACTATCTTTTTTTTTTTTTGTTATGCATGTTTTATAAGCTCATGGAATTGATCGTATTAGCAAAGTCTAGGTGCTAAAGAAAAATATTTTGCGCTTTTCATTAGTTCTATCTGTATTCAGATATGGTTTTATATCATGCTTTGTTATGATGAATATTTAGCCACCGGTTCCTTTCTCACAGAAGTTCCCTAATGTGGATCTCGGGGCTCTTCGCCTACTTGAACGCTTACTTGCATTTGATCCAAAAGATCGTCCCACAGCTGAAGAAGTAAGATTGAGAATTCTTAGTATTTAATTTTTTCTTTCAAAATCACTAAAAAGGAAACAAGGTATGCATACGATAAATAACCCTGAAATTTATAGAAAATAGGGTTTCTTGTTAACATTTTTTATATTCAGAAAACATAAAGGATATGCTTCCTATAGAATTGAAATCCATGAATGGGTGATCTTGAATGCTACAAATTTTGATTTGATGTTTTGTCAGCATCATTTCATCAAGATATGATAATTCTTCTCATCATTGGCATTAAATCAACTACAAATGATAAATCTGACAGTTAGATCATGACTTACAAGCTTCTAATATTCCTAATGGTGTTGTTCTACGCTGGCAGGCATTAGCTGATCCATACTTTTATGGTTTAGCAAATATGGATCGTGAACCATCCACTTAACCTATTTCGAAATTAGAATTTGAGTTTGAGAGAAGGAAATTGGCAAAAGATGATGTTAGAGAGCTGATTTATAGAGAGGTACTCCACATTTGTTGCTTTGGTATTATCTGGTTTCTATTTATCATATAGCTTAACCAATTTGTGGCCTAACAGATATTAGAGTACCATCCCCAGATGTTGCAGGAGTACCTCCGTGGTGGGGATCAGACCAACTTCATGTACCTTTCAAGCTCTTAACTTTTGTTGCTTAATATCCTTTAAAAAAATCCTCTTGTTTCTTAATATGAAGTCCAAGATTGTCCTTATACAGTTTAGATACAGCTTAGTAAAGTAATACTTTTTGAGTGGTTTTGTAGATCGAATCCTCATTTCAAGTTATGTAGTGCTTAAGCGAAATATAGGGGGTGGGGGTCTGGAAATTCTAAATTCCAGTTGATAACATTTGCTTTTAGCATTGCAAATAATTGTATTCTTTTTCTTTTTTCGATCAAATAGTGGTGTTGAGCGATTCAAACGACAATTTGCATATTTGGAGGAGCATTATGGTAAAGGTGAAAGAAGTACTCCACTTTTGATTTTTCACAAGACTCCCCTTTAGTAGAACTTGATGATGATTTCTTGTGCACACTCCCGGATGGCGAGGGCATATTAGTAGAACTTTATTATGTCGTGATATTTTGTATCGACATATGATTACAATATTTTTTATAATTTAATGTGAATATATTGTATGCAAATGGATTGCTTATATATAATATGATATATATATTTAATATTATGAGGCATTAAATGTGATTTAGTTTGATTATTTGTTAATCTACAATATATATATA